TGCCTGATATGCTGGCACAGACTAGCATGGCTACCTCTTCTGAAGCTGGTCTGTGAGGTATTCTTTTCATCACACGGCTATCTGCCACTCTGCAGTTCCCCAACTGATCATTTCTTTTTAAAACGTATTTTCATGTCTCGTTGACTTGACTGAGAATAGATGGGAAATAGGTAAAAAAAGGGTGTAGTACTGTCAAGACAATTTTGCGTGGGGAGGGCTTCAAGTGTTTCACAATTTACAGTTAAAAGAAAAGGGAGTAAAGTTTGAAGGAAAGGATGTGGCTGATTCTTCTAACACGCACACGCACACGCACACACGCGCACGTGTGCACGCACACGCATACACACACACATTTGCATTTCTATATGTGCGCACATTGATAAAAACTGTTTCTTTGGAAATTAACTCTTCCTTACAAAGTTTTCATCTTTGTCCCTTTTGCAAATGCCTATACTATCAGTCTTATGTTTCAGAAGGCCTTTTGGGCAAGTCAACCTAAATGGGCCTGTTTCTTCAGCACGAATCTGCCTTCTTCTTGCTGCCACAGCCACCACACATTCTGTTTCTCCTCGCTGCTGTTGCCTACCTGTCTGTTTGACTGGAGGGGAGTTGAGTGGCAAATAGAAGGGAGAGGCTGCTTTGCAGTTGAGTTCATAAAGTTCATCCGCTTAGAGCTAGAGAGAAAACGTCAGCTGGTGCCAAAACAGTTGAGTTCATAAAGTTCATCCGCTTAGGGATAGAGAGAAAATGACGTTAAGAGCATCAGCACAAGTTACTCTTTAAAGCACCCACAATCCACAGAGATGTCCAGACATGCCAAACTCTGATCCTTTAATTATCTGCTGCAAATCTCTATAGCGAATAAAAAGCACTCCATTTGTATTGGCTCACCTGTTTTTACTGATATCCATTTTACCTAATTTGAATGCATTACAGAAGTATTGGAAGTAGTGGTGATGGGCAGGCAAACACTTCCAAACCTGACTAGGCCTTGCCATACAGGGCAGGAGGAATGTGGGGAAAGATCCTTTTTATTTGCTGGCTGCACATTGCTTGTGGTTGAAATTTACCTCCTTTTAGTAGGAAGATTTCCTTGTCTAAGCCATGGTTGGTGTAGCAGAGATGTCCCAAATGAGAATTTCTCATGAGAGCAAGGGGCCTTGCATCTAGTTGTGTGAAATGATGCTGGGGGCTGTAAGTGGTGCCAGATGTACTGCAACTTTAGGGTCACATATGGTCTTCCATTTATTTTGCACAATTGGGATCCTGTTTATTCACTTCAGCAGAGGAGGATTAAGAACCACAACAGAGAAGCCAGTGCTAATATATTGCAAAATGAATGTGCATGTGACAAGACAAATTGCACCAGTCCTAGTGGAAATCTTGCTTCAGATTCTGTAAATTTCAGCTTTTAAATCTAGTCCCTGAGAGCAGTAATTCACTTCTACTTGCTCTGTAGTATATCTCTGATTCTGTCTGTAGTGTTCCCAGGTCAGTGGTAGCTGATTCCTAAAATTGCAGGGCCAAAACATGAGATGGGGGTAGGCCAGGTCCTTGTGACATCACGGAGGCAGGGCAGGCAAAAGAGGAGAGGCAAGCAAGCATAACATACATTCAAGCATGCTTGTGCTGAGCCAGTGAACCCTTCCAGTGCTTGGAATGGATAGAAATAAGTGTAGATGCTTGAAGACACTTCTCACACAAAAATCAAAGGGTCTTCTGTTCCAGGACTGCTTCACTGTAATTTATTCCTATTCTAGAGTTATGAAGAGCTGGGAAAAAAAACACCAGAGCAATGAATGGTGAATACTTTTTTATTTAGAAAAGCAACCATCCTCTGCTCTTCACCTAAGTTTTCTAGTTTTGGTGGATTTTGTATCCCAAGTGTCTACCTTCATATTCCAACAACATATTTGTTTTTGGACGACTAAATCTGGTGATTGTTTTTTGGAAGAAGATTTGCAGCCACATTCCTCGTATTATATCTTTTTCTTTCCCCTGAATATCCCATTCAAGTCAACTACATTTAATAGTCATCCACCAGGCAGGTTTGATCTGTTGGAAGCCTGGGTCTGGATGTCAAATCCTATGCAACCCTAGCATAGAACCAGAAATTCACATTTCAGAAGAGCTTACTCAATAACTACATTTAATAGTCATCCACCAGGCAGATTTGATCTGGGTCTGGGTGTCAAATCCCATGCAACCCTAGCATAGAACCTGAAATTCACATTTCAGAAGAGCTTGCTCAACATGGAAATGTAGATCTGAATTTTTATTTTTTTTAAGGTGGATGTAGGAACTCATGGGCTCACGGAGGACTGTGCTTATACTAGGCCAGCCAATCTTCATAGTAGAGCATCACTGCATTCATGTCATATTGAAGTTTTTGTTTTCTCCTTCCTGAAGGGCTTACTTTGCACAGTGGCAACAGAAGTGAATGAAAATATATGTACCATTCAACTTCCTGGCATGATAATATAGCAAGATGTCTTTCATCATTCTCAGTTAATTTTAAATGCAGGATTAGAACATTTCCCAGTCCACCCATTCTTCTTGTAAGAAAGTACTTAATATGCAAAAGCAATTCTACGCATTGGTGTTTTAAAATAATCCTTGCTTTAGAAAGGCACATAAAACTTTTAAGACACCGAGAAGGCTATAAATTATTCTTCCTGTTATGAACATCCAAAGGAAACTGAACATTACAGGATGCTTTTAAAATTCAATGATCATGAAGGGAAAGCACAATAAATAAACCCTGTCTTCCATGGTTGAAGCAAAGTTTTACAGCATTTGGACATATTAGCATTAGCAAAGGAGATCCAGGACAGTGAATTAAAAGAAGACTTATATCTTTCACCCAATGAGTATAAATAAATAAGTCTAGAACTTATTATCCCCATGGCTAAACCCAATCATTTTGCTGGTTGTTATGCACTCCCAAGTCATTTCTGACTTATGACGACTGTTTGAGTAAATGACCTCCAAATAGTTCTGTTGTTAACAGCTTTGCTCAGCTCTTGCAAACTCAAGGCTATAGCTTCCTTTACTGAGTCCATCCATCTCTTATTTAGTCTTCCTTTTTTTCGTGTCAACTTCAACTTTTCCTACCATTATTGTCTTTTCCAGGAAGTCTTGTCTTCTCATGATGTGCCCAAAGTTTAGCAATTTCAGTTTAGTAGTTTTTATTTCTAGAAAATGTTTGAGTTAAATTTGATCTAGCACCATGACAGTCATTTAATTCACAGAATGAAGACAAATGTGCACTCTTGAATTGGGAAAAATTGACCTATTCTATGTCTTTGGTCATCTTTTCCATAACATTTATCATAGGAAGAGCCCTGCCTCCAAAGGAAGTAGAATGCTATATAAAGGATACTATATATATTGGTGACCACTTGGCCACTTGCATTTTGCCCAATTTTATATATATATAAAACTGGGCAAAATGCATGCCTAATCTTTTTAATACCTCCAGGGAGTTTTTCCAAATTCATGCATAACAAAAAAGGAATCTTCAAGGCTTTTGTAACACGCAGTTGCATTCTGACTTGTCATCTATCAGCACGGAATGTGCTGCTTAAACTCTGGTCTCCTGATTTATTGCACTGGCTTACAAAGCACAGAATGGGCTGCTGAGCTTCCTTACAAACCAAGCCACTTTCAGTATGGCTCCATACAGGGACATGCATTTCACAGGAACTCAGACATGGAGAAGAACATAGAAGGGGGGGGGGAAGAATCCTCTTTTCTCTTTTCAGTGGGATTCCTCTGCATTAGATTTTTCCATAAGAAATATCACAATAAATATTGCAGAATTTTTTGGAAGTTTCATGGCCACTTTTTTTTTTTTTTTTTTTTTGCAAGGAATGCCAAGCTTGCAGGCTTATGACAATTCCTGCACTGGATGACATCTTTCCTCCACAGGATTTATCTGAAAGAGCACAAGAGTCACCAAGTTGGTGAGAAAAACTATGTTTCCAGCAAAGAAGGACATATTTCATGTGCAGGATCCATTGGAAAGGGTATCAAGCTACAGGGCAGTTTCCTGTGCAGGATAGGAAAACATTAATTTTAAAAAATGGCAAGAGATTGAAGTGAAACTGGGTCTCTTTTTTATGGGAAGCCAGGAAACCTCAGTGGTTTGGAGGGGATTCTCTTCAAGGAGTCTTAGCATAGTGAGCCTTAGAAAATAATTTAGAATAAGAATTTTTTTGAGTACTCATCACATCCCTGCTCCAGTGTTATGACAAAATTTACAGATAGATATGCTATTGCTAAAGGAGTGGATAAGGTAGTCATCCTGTTTGTTATGAATAGGTAGGGAACTCAATGGCCAATTTTTTTAGTGTAGTATAAGAATGCACCCCCTGGATCAATGGCACTTCAGTAAGTCAACTCCTCCTTAAGTTCCATTGATTCAAATGGGCCTACTTTAATGCAATTTTCTAAACAAAAGGATTTGAGCCAATATATTGTTCCACAGATCAATATTAAAGCTTTCTTTGATCCTGAGGTCTATTTGGAGTGTGCATACTCAGTTCCCTACGTGCATACTTTCCCAAAGACCTACTTTGTTTGCGTGGAATGTAACATTTGACAGTGTAAGTTATATGTTTTAAAAACAAGGAAGCAGAACAAGAGGAGTTGTTGATGAACAGGAGTAAAAGGAAAACTCCAGACTGGAGATATGAAAAAGACTAGACGTGTGCTTCTAGTACCATAGTGGGAACATAGAGAGATCTAGCTGTGGGAACTACATGATCTAACATGGTAAAGGTCCAAGCAAACATGCTGGATTCCATCTGTGGACATTTTTACTTTATGGTGTTTAAGGAAGCTGTATCCTGTATCCAAGAAGTTTGCTTCTGATACTATTGTGGATTTAATGCAAAATTCTTTAAGCTTCTCTCAGTTTCAAAGCAATCACTTCTGCGTACCAATATGTAAAAAATAGTTTCATTATGTTTATTATAAAAATATAAATGTTTCCACTACAAATCATTTTACATTAGTAACAGGCCATCTACAATTGCACAACATAATTCACTAACTGAGTAAGTAATGCTTTGAAATAAACGTTAAAAGTAAATGCAGATTTCCCAGTTCAAATCACAACTATACATTGCTTACTGGATCCTACAGTACAGCAAAGCCTATGTTATATGTTAAGAGAAATAAATAATATATGTAGAAACAATATTTTAAAGGTACAAAATCAATAATATGGTACATATTCTTTGTGAAGACTTTTGTGTTGCTTGTTTGATGTAAATAATAACCAAAAGCAGGTCCTGTACAGGAAGATGGCCACAAAAGTTCTATTTCTTCTACTCCACAGTTAAGAACTGTACACTGCTATGTTTACATATGTACAGGGGGAGAAGGGCAATATAGGATATAGGAGGCCGTGGGACAGTACAAAAAGTGTAAGAAAGAGAAGACCAAAAGCTGTTTAAAAACCCTCTGTGAAAAAGGAATTTTCTCCTGAAGAAACAATGGAATCAGTCCCTCATACTGAGCAAAGATTACTAAACAGTGAGAAAGAGTGAAGAATAAGCAAAGCTCTATTCAGCCACTCTAGAAATCTAGTATTTTCAATACAGTGAGAGTACTTTGCCTAGTACTATTGCTCCATCTTCAGTTACTTCATGTGAGAAATGATAAATCTATAGAGAGATTCTTATTCACTTGTAGGCTCTACATAGGAGTAAGAACCATAGAAAATCTAGATTCTTGCTCTTGTAGAGAAAACAATGATGGAGGCTGGGTAAACTACATTATTTCTTTTAACCATGCTGGCAATAGTTGAGTCTATAATGACTGAATAGCACATGAGGCTAAAATTTATTCTGAAAACCTGCTAATGAATCATTTTCTTTCTTTGACACCCATTTAAGGTCACCTCCAGGACAATCTGTTCCACATGGCCCTACAGAGAACCTACACAGAATGATTATTGTTCTAAATTACTTCCTGATAACATGAACCTTTGCACCGAGAACTGAATATTAAATGCAAATAAAATGAAGGTGCTGATGACACAATTAGTCTGAGGCAAATCCTTGCATCAGACCTGAACGCTAGCTTAAGATGGCCTGGAGTTCCTGCTGTGTCAGTTGGATAGCACATGGCACCATATCCCAAAGATATACCGGGAAGATACTCTAGTACTAATGTCTGGGTGCAAGTATTTTGCAATGCTTGTTTTATGCTTCCTGAAATCTGATCACATATTGTTTTAATTTCACAATCCATTTTAAGCCTGTGGTTCTTTCATATTAAATTCATCTTCAACACTGCTGCTTATTACAGTGAAAGATGTTCAGATATTATTGGCACACAGAATCACACAACTCAGTATACAGCAGATAATGTTAACAGTGATTTCTTAAATGAAGGCAATTTACCTACGAATGTTACACCATTTTTGTTACACCAGCATAACTAGACAAGAGGATTTGGGCCATTGTAAAGCTATTATTTTGCAAGAGCACTGAATGTTCAATCAAATGCTTCTTTACTCAGAAGTAAGTTCCTGTATTCCATAGTGGATTAATCCCTAAACGTCTGCTTTTAGAGCTGAGGATCCTGTTAAGGATGTATGTTTAGGATTGCAGCCTGAGATACATACCATTATTATTTTTCTAAATGGATGCCAACAGTATAAGAATTACAAAAAGGCATTTTCTTTTTTGCACCCTGGAGCAGTAGAAATGAGTTAGTTCATCACCAAATAGTGCACCATAGAATTTGCTAAAAAATCTGCCACAATCCCAAGTTAAAAGTCTGCTGCAAGCATGTAAGTGCATGCAATTATGCACATTTGTGCTAGTATGTGGAGCTCACTGAGGCTATTCTGTTTGTAAAGCATTATTATATGGTTCCTTGGCCTGCACTATGTAGTGCATCATGTATGGAAGTTTCTGTATTTGTAGACATTTGTGTATGTGTTTATTTAGACCTCTCAGCATGACAACACTTTTCCCAGACTGGGGATTGTTTCTGGAAGTACGTTTCATTAGTTTCATGGGACTTTATTTCAAATATTCGGATCGCAGCCAAAGTCTAAGAGAATTTGGCATTCTGAAGTCATCAATCCCAGTCAAACCACATATAAATATAAACAATAAGAAAACATTTAAAAAGGAAATAAATAGGCCTTTTATAAAGGAAGACCCTCTGTTTTTTAAAAAACAGCACACATACATCAAAGTGAGCCCCATAGCAAGTATTAATTGTGAACTATTGCCTCCATGTTATCCCAAGCACATTATTCATGATTTTCTTCTACAGTCAAAATGTAATATTGCAAAGAATATCATCCCCAAATATCCTTAAGAAGACTTGTTTTAAAGAAATAAAATGCTAGTTGTCTATTTTTTCCACAAATAAAAAAAAAATACTGCAGGGGTATCCTTTCCCTTGCTGCTGCTGACATTCAGTCAAAACACAGCATTACATCCACAGTTTATTTGCTTCCTGTTTGTGGCATTCAGCCCATTGACATTTGAATGGCTCTGGGTTACCTGGAAGGATTTTAAAACACATGTATAACATTTCCCTTCAAATTCATTATACGTTTGAGCAGTCCATTATGACAGAGGAGGGAAAAAAACACCCCTCCTTCAAGATTAAGAAATAGAAAAAGAAATGTTTTTCATTCCTATTTTAAGGCAATTTAACTCATCTTATGAGTCTCTTAGTGGGCTTGCAATTTTCACCCAAATTTTATTTTTTTCTACATTGTCACAAGAGTGTCTCTTAAGACTTGCAGTTTTGCATTCGTTGTCATGACCTTTGCAATAACTCTTCCTTGCTTCCTCTCATTATGTCCTGAGTGTCAACATTTTGGCAGTTTACACAGGAACAGGGCCATTTTTCGTATGCATTTCTAGAGACTTAAGACTGCTCACAAGCTTTTTCTGTGGCCCAACAATCGTCACACCAACTTTCTTCATGTCACTGAAAAACAGAACACACTAATGAATTTGTTGGAAATGGCAAATGTTGCATATACAGTATTTGTCAAAATGTAGCAACCTTTCTTTGCATATTGCAAAATGGTGATGGCTAGATTGCTAGCTGGGCCCAAGGAAAAGAAGACCATTTCTAAGATTGATAGAAATAGGAAGGAACACAAGCAGCCACATGACTATGGAGAATGATCGCACAATACAGCCGCTGTCAGGTTTTGATGGATCTGACCCACTTGGTGACAAACGGGTGTGACAAAGAGTGAGGGGAATTCATGGGAGTGTTCTTATGTTTGGGAAGTGTACGTTGTGTAAGTTGGGAAGTATAAGTTGACATTAAAATATAAAGCAAAGAAATTTCACATTCTTCCCCCTCTCTTTCCCTTGGCACTCTTTGTGGTTCTAAAATTGTGTGGAGAGCACAATGAGAGCATGCAACTCTGTCATAGTTTCAGTCATCATAGGCTGTTACCCAAGCAGCAGATCCCCCCTCTCCACATTGCTGAAATGGTCCAATGGAAAGGCAAGAGCCAATACGACTGGTTCCAGCAATGTTGCAGGAGTTGGCAGAACGACACGAGCTGCCTTCGGGACTCCAGCTCCGGATTTTGCCTCGAGGTTAACTCCTGAAGCCTTTTCCATTGGTGGATATAGCCACAAGGCAGTGGAGGTTTGAAATTGGAGTTTTCCTTCTCCTAGATGGGCTGCCTTCCATGGCTGACGAGCCCCACCTACCTTTCACAGTAATGTGAAAGTAACAGGCTGAAGAGCAAGAGATTGCTCTATTCATGTAGACGCCCTACATGAGCCAGGACACTGTGGGGTAGGGGAGAATTCTCTGGATTCTGGTAGATGCAGTAAGTTATGCATGGCATTAACCTTTAACCCACTAATAATTTGAAGCCATGCTATATGAAGTCTCACAATCTAATCTCATGTGTAACTATTTCAGTCTTAAAGTTAACATTTGCAGCCTTTTTCTTGGTTCCATGAGTGAGACCTGTTGGGCATGGAAATATGAGGGACAGTGCCTTTTCTGTGGTGGACTACATCTTCGAGGTGCCCTCCCCAGGAAAATACATTAGGCTTCTTGCATGGAAGCTTCTGGGTGACCTCTAAGAATCTTCTAGCTTTCAAATGATGCATGATTTGTAGTACCGCGATTGCTTTATTTATTAAATATTTGCATATCTATGCATACTTATAAGTCACATGAATTTGAAAATTTGAAAGTGGTATAAAAACTAATGAAACTTACAGTGTACACAATGCGCAAAATTAAAATGCAGCATTTACATACTCCATGGAAGAGATGATAATTTAGAGTACACAGGGGGGAATGGCAAAAATAGGTTTTCATCATAATCTAAAAATAAAAATTGTTGGAAGACAATTTCACATAGTGGGTTTTAAGTGCTGGCAACTATTTTGATTTTGTTGTTATTTACTGCCTTTATTTTTTTATCATGTTTCATCTAATTGATTGATTTATATGCATTTTTCCCTCTATGGACTCATCATGTTGTAATAGTTTAATGTTTTTTATTATCTTATTACATTGTTTTATTGATTAGTGAAAACTGCCTTGGAAGGATAATCTATTTTGAGAGTTAGAGGAAAAATCCATTAAAGAAATTAAATTAATTAATGCACTTAAATGTTTAACCGTATACAAGATTAAAACTCTAATTTGGGAAACTGTGTGAAGAATGCAAAGTGAGTCAATGAAACAACTCTAAGAAAAACTCTTACTCTGAGGAAATCTTGGCTATTGTGTCACACGAGCTGTATTCTACTCCTGTGAATATGTCCTTGCATTGTCCTATCCGAATGCCATTGACCCAGTCACTTGTTGAGCGGAAAGCGGAGATTTCAATGCTGCTTTGGTCCAGAAGAAGATTTGATGGCCTGGAAATAAAATGAATATGGTTACATTAAGAGCACAGAAATGCACTGAAATACTGGAACTCAAGATCACTAACAAAAGGATTTCAGAAAGGCCATGGAGGTTCCCTATGTAGGTGTGGAATTTTATGACTGCAGAAATCTCATTGTAGAACATGGCTCTTCTAAGAGAAGAACATGTAGCTTCGGAGGCTAAGACCACAGTATGTAGAACAAGCCCTACTGGACTCTGTGGCAGATACTCCCAAGTAGAATTATAAAGGACAATACTCCTACATAAACCAATTGATCAATTTATAACTCAAAATTATTATTAATAATTACTACCAATTCCATTGTTGACACATTTCTACTGAATGGAAGATATCACAAAGTAATTTAATCTAGCTAATTTTGTTCAGATACGGTACATTACTCAAGGAGAAACAGTTCCAATAAGAGACCAGTTCATTCACATGTTTAACTTTCTTAATCTGAGATAAAACTAACTGATCTTTTGACACATACTGTAATTTACGTACAGGATGAGCCACTGGTTTAAATAACATAGTACTGTACACCATTTAGAACATAGCATGTTTCAAAAATACTAGATTGCTTTAGTTTCTTGAAATAACCAATAAAAGGTAATAATAAAAATATAGAAACAAATTGGATGATTCTGTCCTTTTCTATTTAAGCTCCACTAATTTGTGGAACATTTGCTCCCTTAATTTTCCTTAGTGAGTTACTTTTTGTATCTTCATACTTATGGACTCACAGAGATCTAGACGGAACTATTAGGCATCTCACATATATAGTAAATGTACAGCATGCACCAGAATACTCTAAGTATTCAGCTTCCACCATATTATTTTCTTCACACTCCCTTTGCTCCCTTCACTCCACAAAACAAACACACACAAGAAAAAGAAAAGAATGCACAAATAAATAAAACTTTGAAGATATCTATATTATTATCACAGTTACACCACATTTTGTGATAAAGAACTGACATTGCTCATTTAATCATCTTGTTGATACTTATGTTGTTTCTACAAAATTTTTGGTTTTATATATATTTGTGGGTTTTTTAATGACTTGCTTCTGTGGAACTGTTGTCTGAACCATTGTCAAGAGAAGCTTTCAATGTGCACCCAGTTCTTGTTTTCACACATGTACCATTTATTTCTATTCCAGCCATTTTCTTTTCCTGTTCATTTCAAGAGTAAATCCAAAGGCTATACTAATAGTAACTGTACTAAGTTCACCCAGCCACCTTCTTTTGGTCTTAGGAAGACCATATTTTTGAAATGTATACTTTTCACTGTATATCTTTAAGAATCCTGCGGCAATTATTAAACTGTATACAAGGCTAGGAGAAATTGTTTCCAGTCAAGAAAAATTTTCTTTTAACCCAGTAAGATAGGAATTGACTTAATGACAACTTAAGGACAGGGGGGAGGTTTAAGCAAACTGAGAAAGAACAGAGTGACAGAATTGCAAATTGGAACCACCTAGTAAAGATTTTATGTTTATTCCTGGGACCACGGTATAATGAAGACAAAAATATGAACTGATTTTAATAGAAGTAGCCACAGATTAACCAGTATTGTAAAGTATCAGTTTTCCCCTTGCAAGATTCCAGACATAAATGAATAAATAAATGAAGTTACTTTCTTCCTTGGAGAGGACATCTGGACAGTTTATCAATAACTAGGAATTTGTCTCTTGCTGTGAAGAATCTGTGATGTCTCCTCATGTGCTCCATGGGAACGCTGGCCTTTCAGAGCATCTGCATTCACTGGGTTGTGCCCTTCCTCTCCCTCTGCCTTTGACTCAGCCCCCTAGACAGCGGGCCTAAACATGAAATTTATGGGCTGGGTGATGTGCGCCATAAGCTCACACTTTTACTAGACAAATTAGATGGAGAGCAATCCGTGCAGCTGTAAATGACCTCCTGCAGGGTTCCACCTGATCCTTCACGGCTTTCCATAAATCAGGCCCTACTAGTGTCAGACTGCAGTCATTAAAAAGAAATCATGGAAATTACATCTTTGCTCAGGGGAAGTGAAACTACTTTAACCACCACCACCACCATCCTAACCCACCCTTATTTTTGCCACTTTCAGCAGATAGCTGCATTCCAAAAGTGCTCTGAATGTACAGAAAAACAACTCAGTGCAATTCATTTGAGTGTTAAGTGTAGGTGAAAGGCTCCATGCATATACTGGCATATGGCTCTCATAAATAAAAGGGCAGCAACCCATTCAGCAGTGAGATTTCAGAGTACATGTTCCACCAATGGCCTCTTGCAGTTGGCTTTTATGGACCAGGCTATTCTGTTAACAGCTGGAATTAACCTTTTTCTTTTGCATAAAAGCCTGGAAAGCCATGGTTTGCTGTCATTAAGATGGATGTCGCCACATTGCAGAGGATTTTTCTGTCATATCATGTTGTGTCTTGAAATAAACATATAAATAGCAATGAAGCGCTGCCTCCCGCTGATACAAATCACTGCTCTGAGTGTGCCAGCTGTCCAGTTGGAAAGAGATAACTCAATTTGTAACCACTACCATCAAGCACTACCATTATTTGAGACGTAGCATTGTACTTATAAAAGAAATACTGGATACTGTACTCTATAAGCTTCCAAGTCTATTTTAATTTATCATCTCAGGCAGTTTCCATCCAGTGCCCTTAAATGCATCCATTTCAAACTACTAATTTTAAGTATCTTTTAATTTTGCTTGCGTAAATGCCTCCTGGACATTCATCTGTGCTGAAATATGACATGTATTGCTTAAAAATAAATCTAAGGACTGGAATTCTGGACTAATGATTACGATCAATATAACTGTTGTCTGTAACTTTATGAAAGCACAAATATGTGTGCTTATTTGTTTCTAAAGTTATCTTCTCTGCCAAATAGAAGCATGGATGTATCCTCTTCCCATCAAGAGACCAGAAAATAAATGACACACTGAGGAGTCATTGAGACATTCTGTTGACTTTAATTATCTCTGCACCAAGAGGAGTACAATCTTTCCCTTTACAGCTATTTATGCTTGTTTTAAAGTGCCGCTTAGGTAAAAATTTGTAACTTTGTACTTAAATAAAATTGACCTAGCTATGCATGGTGTTTGTTTCCCCAATTATTTTCTTCTATCATGTTTGCTCAGTTCAGTAATAATCAGATAGTTGTTTCTTTCAGTCTTGGAGGTTAAAAAAGAAGAAAAAAGTAAGCAGACTTACAAACCAAACAGCAAACATTTCCTTTAGCATAAGGCTGCCTTACACAACCTAATGTCTCATGTGTTGGATTAAAAATTTAGGAATCCACACTTCTGGAGAGCAATGGGTGTGAGAATATTGGACGGCTTGTCATTTCTGAACTTCTTCGCCTTAGATGCCCAAAGCTCAACAACAAATAATTAAAGCCCTTAAAACTGAATGTAGCGGCTGCCTTACACAACCTAATGTCTCACGTGTTGGATTAAAAATTTAGGAATCCACACTTCTGGAGAGCAATGGGTGTGAGAATACTGGACGGCTTGTCATTTATGAACTTATTCGCCTTAGATGCCCAAAGCTCAACAACAAATAATTAAGGCCCTGAAAACTGAATGTAGCAGAAGACATCAAGCAGAAGACATCAAGAAGAAGTGGCAAGAATACACAGAGGAATTATACCAGAAAGATCTGGATGTCCTGGACAACCCAGATAGTGCCATTGCTGACCTTGAGCCAGACATCCTGGAGAGTGAAGTCAAGTGGGCCTTAGAAAGCATGGTTAACAACAAGGCCAGTGGAGGTGATGGTATTGCAGTCGAACTATTTAAAATCTTAAAAGATGACGCTGTTAAGGTGCTACACTCAATATGACATCAAGATTGGAAAACTCAACAGTGGCCAGAGGATTGGAAAAGATCAGTCTACATCCCAATCTCAAAGAAGGGCAGGGCCAAAGAATGCTCCAACTACCATACATTTGCACTCATTTCACACACTAGCAAGGTTGTGCTCAAAATCCTCCAAGGTAGGCTTCAGCAGTATGTGGACCGAGAACTTCCAGAAGTACAAGCTGGATTTCGAAGGGGCAGAGGAACTAGAGACCAAATTGCTAACTTGCGCTGGATTACGGAGAAAGACAGAGAGTTCCAGAAAAATGCCTACTTCTGCTTCATTGACTACGCAAAAGCCTTTGACTGTGTGGACCACAGCAAACTATGGCAAGTCCTTAAAGAAATAGGAGTGCCTGACCACCTTATCTATCTTCCGAGATATCTATATGTAGGAGAGGAAGCAACAGTTAGAACTGGATATGGAATAACTGATTGGTTCAAAATTGCGACAGGAGTATGACAAGGCTGTATATTGTCTCCCTGCTTATTTAACTTATACGCAGAATACATCATGTGAAAGGCAGGACTGGAGGAATTCCAAGCCGGAATTAAGACTGCCGGAAGAAATATCAACAACCTCAGATATGCAGATGATACCACTCAGATGGCAGAAAGTGAGGAGGAATTAAAGAACCTCTTAGTGAGGGTAATCTCATCCTTCGAGATTGAAGGATGCCTTAACCAAAGTGAGGGTGAAAGAGGAGAGCGCAAAGAATGGTCTGAAGCTTAACATCAGAAAAACTGATCATGGCCACTGGTCCCATCACCTCCTGGCAAATAGAAGGGGAAGATATGGAGGCAGTGACAGATTTTACTTTCTTGGGCTCCATGATCACTGCAGATGGTGACAGCAGTCATGAAATTAAAAGATGTCTGCTTCTTGGGAATTGATGACAAACCTAGACAGCATCTTAAGAAGCAGAGAAATCACCTTGCCGACAAAGGTCTGCATAGTCAAAGCTATGGTTTTTCCATTAGCGATGTATGGAAGTGAGAGTTGGGTGATAAAGAAGGCTCACTGTCAAAGAATTTATGCTTTTGAATTGTGGTGCTGGAGGAGACTCTTAAGAGTCCCCTCCACTGCAAAGAGAACAAAGCTATCCATTTTGAAGGAAATCA